GGTCATTATGTCCGAGATGGAAACTCTAACCGCGACAACAACTTCAACAGGGGTAACTATGGTAATAGAAATGGGCCCTATGTTCCTCCTCAAAATCGTGAAGTTACTTCTGGGGATGGTGAAGGTAGTATGGCGCGAATTGAGGATATGTTGCATAAAATGATGAGGAGGTTCGATGCTAGTGATGAGCACAATAAAGAGTTGAGGAATGATTTAGCGGGTATTGGTCAAAAAGGCGATACACATGCAATTTCGATTAAGAAATTTGAGTAAAAATTGGCTTAATTATCTGCGACTGTGAACACACGGCAACCGGGCACTCTTCCTAGCAACACTGTCCAAAATCCTAAAGATGATGGACATTGTACGGAAATCACTACTCGTGGTGGTAAGCAAACCATTGACCCACCTATGCCGTCTAATGAGAAAAAGGTGACAAAAGATACTGATAAAGTGGTAGATGTTAATGGTGAAGTAGAGGATAACACTGTAAAAGATGTTGAAGTTCCTAAAAAGGTAACTCCCATGCCTAGGACACCACCCCCATTTCCTCAAAGATTAGTGAAAAAGATTGAGGATGGTAAATATCAGCGTTTTCTAACAATGTTGAAGCAACTTTCTATCAATGTCCCTTTGGTAGAACCTTTAGAACAAATGCCTAGGTACGCCAAGTTTATGAAAGATCTGGTTACAAAGAAAAGATCGATCACTTTTGAAGATGATGATAGAATGCAGCATTGTAGCGCTATTGCTACAAGATCTCTGGTACAAAAGAAAGAAGATCCGGGTGCGTTCACTATTCCTTGTACAATTGGGCTATTACATTTTGCGAAAGCATTATGTGATCTAGGGGCAAGAACAAATCTCATGCCCCTCTCGATTTACAAGAAGTTGGGTTTGGGTCATCCAAAGCTTACTGCGATGCGGCTACTGATGGATGATCGAACGGTAAAAAGGCCTATAGGGATACTCCACGATGTGCTGGTAAAAGTGGAGTCATTCATATTTCCGGTAGATTTTGTTATTCTTGATTGTGAAGTCGATTTTGAAGTTCCCATTATTCTTGGGAGGCTATTCCTTGCCACGGGAAGAGCCTTAGTAGATATGGAAAAGGGGCAGATGAAATTTCGGTTGAAAAATGAGGAAGTGACCTTTAACATTTGTAGGTCCATGAGGCAGAGTGGTGAGCTCCAATCGGTATCTTCTATATCCTACAACATTGGTGAGACATCTGAGACACAAATAGAAGAACGTCTAGGTGTAGAAGCATTAGCGGCAGTGATAATGAATTTTGATAGCGATTGCATTGAAGAGTATGAGTCATTAGTCGCGGCTCTTGATCGAGGTGATGTTCGGTTTAAACCGAAGAAATATGAGTTAGATATGAAGAATCGCGAGTTCCCACCCGCGAAACCATCTATACAAGAGGCTCCAAAGTTAGAACTAAAAGCTCTCCCACCTCATCTCAAGTACGAATTCTTAGGAAATGGTGACACTTTGTCAGTAATCATTGCATCAGACCTGAATGAACAACAAATAGAGAGTTTGGTGAAAGTGCTAAAAAGGTTCAAAAGAGCTATTAGGTAGACTATTGCGGACATTATTGGGATCCCTCCTGGTATTTGCTCTCATAAAATCCAACTCATGCCTGATCATAAGCCAAGTATTAAGCACCAGAGACGCTTAAATCCACCTATGCAAGAGGTCATGAAGAAGGAAATCATTAAGTGGTTGGATGCCGGAGTAATCTATCCGATCGCCGATAGTAGATGGGTATGCCCTGTTCAGTGTGTACCTAAGAAAGGGGAATGACTGTGGTCCCCAATGAAAAAAATGAACTTGTTCGAATGAGACTGGTTACTGGATGGAGGGTGTTTATGGATTACCGCAAATTAAATGCATGGACTGAAAAAGACCACTTTCCTATGCCCTTCATGGATCAGATGTTGGATAGACTTGCCGGAAAAGGGTGGTACTGTTTTCTTGATAGATATTCGGGGTATAATCAGATTTCTATTGCACCAGAAGATCAAGAGAAAACCACTTTTACTTGTCCATATGAGACCTTTGCATTCAAAAGAATGTCGTTTGGGTTGTGCAATGCACCCGCCACATTTCAGAGATGTATGATGTTGATATTTTCCGACATGGTGGAAGAAACTATAGAAGTTTTTATGGATGATTTTTCTGTGGTTTGTGATTCATTCGAGCGGTGTTTGAACAATTTATCTGAGGTCCTTAAGAGAAGTGAAGACTGCAATTTAGTACTAAATTGGAAAAAATGTCATTTCATGGTGAAAGAAGGTATTGTTTTGGGTCATGACAGTTTAGAAAAGGGCATAGAGGTTGATCGAGCTAAAGTCGAGGTAATAGAGAGACTTCCCCCACCGATCTCTGTGAAAGGTGTGAGAAGCTTTCTTGGGCATGCAGGTTTTTACCGGAGATTCATCAAAGACTTTTCAAATATTGCACATCCATTGTGCAAAGTGCTGGAAAAAGATTGTAAATTTTGTTTTGATGAATCCTGTCTTAAAGCATTCGGCGAGCTAAAAGAAAAAATGGTGTCTGCACCTATCATTATTTCTCCGGATTAAAACAGTCCATTTAAGGTGATGTGTGATGCTAGTGGGGTTGTTCTTGGTGTAGTATTGGGATAAAGAAAGAACAAAATCCTTCACCCCATTTACCATGCTAGTAAAGCCCTAAATGAAGCTCAGAAGAACTACACAGTGACTGAGCAAGAACTCCTTGCAGTAGTCTTTCCTTTTGAAAAATTTCTCTCCTATTTTCTAGGTACTAGAGTTATAGTTCATACTGACCACTCAGCGTTGAGATATTTGATAGCAAAGAAGGATGCGAAACCTAGGTTGATTTGTTAGGTATTACTGCTACAAGAATTTGACTTTGAAGTGATGGATTGAAAAGGAACTGAAAATCAGGTTGTTGATCATTTGTCCCATCTAGAGGATGAAGCTATGAGAGAGTTAGGGGATAAGACTGACATTGATGATACTTTCCCCGATGAGCATGTATTGGCTGCTTCATAAGACTTGACTCCATGGTTCGCAGATTTTGCGAACTATCTGGCTAGTGATATTGTTCCATCGAACTTGTCCTTTCATCAAAAGAAAAGTTCATGTACGATGTGAAGATGTTCTTTTGGGATGAACCATACTTATATAAGAGTTGTGCCGACGGGCTTATTCGGTGTTTTGTGCCAGAATGTGAGATGTTGAGTGTGTTAGAAGCATGCCATTCCTCACCCGTTTGTGGACATCATAGCGGTATCCGAACCGCTCATAAGATATTACAATGTGGTTACATTGGCTAACTCTTCATCAAGATGCTCATGAGTTTGCTAAAGCATGTGATCGATGCCCACGAGATGGCGGCATTTTAAGAAAGCAAGAGCTCCCTCTAAACCTCATTCTTGTGATTGAGTTATTTAATGTTTGGGGTATTGACTTTATGGGCCCTTTTGTGAGTTCTCATGGAATGAAGTACATTCTAGTAGCGGTTGATTATGTATCTAAATGGGTCGAAACCATCGCCCTTGCAAACAATGAAGGGAAGAGTGTCACTGCATTCTAAAAAAAGAATATATTCTCTCGTTTTGGCACCCCAAGGGTAATTATTAGTGATGGGGGGCTCCCACTTCTGCAACAGATTGTTCAAGGGGTTATTGGAGAAATATGGGGTTCGCCATAATGTGGCCACTGCCTACCACCCTCAAACTAGTGGCAAGTTGAAGTGTCGAATCGGGAGATCAAACAGATATTATAAAAAACGGTGAACGCTAGTAGAACGGATTGGTCAAGGAGACTTGATGATGCTCTTTGGGCCTACCGGACAACGTTAAAGAATGTCCCTATACCAACTTGTATATGGGAAAGCTTTTCATCTTCCGATTAAGTTAGAGCATAAAACCATGCGGGCTATGAAGAAGTTGAAATGGATTGGAGCGAAGCTGCAGAACAACGGTTAACTGGGTTGAATGAGCTCGATGAATTTCGCCTGAAAGCTTAGCCCTATACAAAGAAAAGATGAAGAAGTACCATGACCAAAAAATTGGAAAACGAGAGTTTATGGTCGGGGATTTGGTGCTTTTATTCAATTCTAGGTTGCGCTTGTTTCCGGGCAAGCTCAAGTCCAAATGGACTAGTCCTTACATGGTTACCCAACTATTCCCTCATGGAGCAATTGAGTTGGAAACTAAGGAGGGTGTGCGGTTCAAGGTGAATGGACAACACATAAAAATCTATTTCGGGCATGCTGAATCAGCGAATGAAGTCATCGAGGCATACCATCTTGATGAATTCTGAGTAATCAAGTGTCCTCAGTCGTGCTTCGACGTTAAATTAGGCGCTTGTTGGGAGGCAACCCAATACTTATAGTTTTTCTTTCTAGTAATGGTAGCATTTTCTACTCATGGGTTTTAAATTTGCAGGTACATCACCAGGAAATTCTGCAAAAAATCACTCTGCAACAGTCACTGACGCACACGAGGATGGACCGTCACTCATGCGACGGACTGTCGCATGAATCCGTCGTGTCAGGTATGTCTTTCTGTTATTTTTAAAACTAGGGCACACGCGACTGAACCAACGACGGACCGTCACAACTGCTATGGACCGTCATTGGGGACTCGTCACGTTATTAATGAAGCATACCTGACCCGAAAGTGGATTTTTACTCTAAACCTACTAACGTGCTAAAATCATGTGAATTTTACTCTATTTTATTTAGTGCAAGTAGATTTTACTCTATTCACTTAAAAGTATGTTATTTCTGTAATTTGTCATTTAAGGAAAATATGAGCAATAGGCGGGTTGGGCTTTGAAAATAATGTGTAAATGTATTTTTCTAGGCGAAAGTACGAGTTTTAGATTCTGCTACTTATGGATGATTTATCTGGATTATGAAATTTAGTTTTGCAATTTCCATCATTAGTTAAGTATCATGTCAGAATTTACCCATAAATAATTCACTGCACGGGAATGAACAAGGCAAACTAGACCACTATGCATAATTTGAGGCAGGAACATGATCTTTGCATGTTTAACGTATCATCAGCACAAGATGTACACGTGTGGTTGAAACATTTAGTATACATGTATCGATAACACTCATCCAAATATACTGTCACAAAGTTACTAGTGCAGTTAGAACTTAACATCCATTGACTTAAAATTCTGTTTTGTCTCTGACATAGCCTTTTGTGAGACTTGTCATCTGCGCATCTCATTTTGAGAAAGCTGGTCCCTGAGGTCCTTAAGAGCATCCACAACTTCTGCAGCGAGGTTGTGCTTTAACAATTTACCTTGCATAGAAGTAGATCTGTGAAGAATATCGATACACCAAGAAATTATTAGCATCGCATCAGATGTCGATGAAATTATGTAAGTGCAAAAGATAGCATGAATAGGATCCATTAATCATACTATAGCCTATCATTACTAGTTTTGCCAATTGATTCAACAGCTGGAGAGGAAAGAAGTATAATGAATGGATGAGCTATATATAGTTGATGAGATTGAAATATCCACAATGCAATGATAACTATTTCAGGGGGGAGGGGGGAAAGAGCAATAACAACAAAAACAAAGCAACAGCACACACAATCATACAGATATATATTTTCAAACTTCTTCTTCAACAATTTCTACTTGTGTATCTTCAGTAAAACTAAAAACAGAGAAAATAATTCATCAGATAAATGCCGTTAGTTTAGCTAACAAGCAGTTTATGAGGTACGTACTGTTATTGGTGCTGGGTTATACTTGTTTGTCAAGCATAACATAGCGTTTTCTTTTTTCATATCAGAAGAAAATATACAAGTACACTTTACTTCATCAAAAAGTAAAAAAAAAAAAAGAACTTCATCAACATGCTGGATTTTACATTCTCAGCCACTTGGCTGAGGACAAGGGGCTCGAGCAGGTCAATTACTAAATGACTCTTTACCTACATGCTGTAAGAAAGATGAAGGATACTGAAATGTCCCATCAAACCTCAACTAGAATATATTAGAGTAAAGCTAATCACAAGACATGCCTTCAATTCAACTTTAAACAAGTTTAAAACTAATTATTAAAACTCTCTTTCAGAAAGTCTACTACTTTATAAGCTTTACGAGAAACAGCTGTAAGGTAAATAAAAGAACATACACTGCAAACTAGCATTCAATTGTGTTAAAATAATTTTTCTTGAAAGGTCAAGAAGAATATGGGAAAGGTGAGTTGCTTAAAGCCTACATTCAGATGAATATTTTTCCAACCCGAGGAGCAGAGTAATCTTCAGATTAGACAAGAAACGAAAAAAATTCAAACTACGTGGTATACCTATGTTCCCGCAGCATTCTCTCAACCTCCTTGTGTGAAGCTTTGATCTACATTATCTCAAAGGATCAGAGAATTTACATCAGAATTAGGGAGCATATTATTCATAGCAGTAGCTATTACTATTTAGTGCAAACACTTTAGATGAACATTCAAGCACCTAATCTTCATATCTACGAGCATACAGGTGTTAGACATTTTTAACTAAAACAAAGTCAGATAGGTGCCAATGTCAACAGCACGGATCATATTATTAAGCCTCCAATCCGAATGTCAGTTAGAGTCAAAATAAGACTATTCTACTGAGTACAAGTATTTTACGAAAACAATTTTACCCTTAGTTGCGCGGACTCTTCACTTTTGATGCCACACCCGTCTCGGATTCTTCACAAATACACTACTTTTGGCGAATCCGACACGCACCCATTGACATTTTTTAAGAGTCCGAGCAACATAGATTTTACCAGTAGTTCTACGCAATACGTAAAGGGGAAAAGACCATATAGCTTTAGACTTTACAGAAGAATATTGCTTAAGCTCTTATACTTTAGTTACTCTCATCTAAGCCCTTGAACTTTCTTTTTGGACTCAACATACCCCTTCTCTTAGATTGTTAAGTTGCACCTATTAAGTTGAGGAGCAACTCCCATATTTTTCCATTAGAAAGAAAATGGAGAAGGAAAACAAGAATAAGAGGACAGAGAATAAATGAAGAAAAGTTTAAGAAAACTATATTTTCTTCAGTTCAGGTAACAAGTACGGTATAAAAACTTCTCATCTCACTCAATACAATAAATATACTTTTATTTTTCTTTATTCTTCATTATGCAGAAGAAAGATTTTTTTTTAACTCTCAACCTGGCTTTCCTTTGTCTGTTTTAAGGCATGAAGTAGCAAAGAAAATTGAGAGATGACAAAGGCTAATGCCAAGCACCATGAAGAAGCTGATATTTGCACATTACCTCAGAGATTAATGCCTTGCAGCTCCAAACAAAAGCCCCCTGGTAGAACCGCCAAAGTTTTAACAAGGAAAATTAGTCTCTACCCAAAGGATGTATGCTAGAGAATGGATGGCGATGAAAAGAGGTTGTCGACTGTAGATGAAACAGCTACTTATTGTACTTTTCCTTTAAACAGATAGCTAATCATTTTACCTTCATAGAAGGTTAGAGTACCAGAAAAAATTGAAATGTGTGAGTGCTATCAGAAATATATAATCAGATTCAGACTACAGGGAAAAGTTGTTGGCGCACTTCAATTAGTACATGGATCAGGAAATCACAAGCATAAAAAATTCACTTGAATTAAGTGCAACAACTCAACCCTTCATTTTAAGGTTTTATGCCCCCCCTCCCCCTTAGAATTAAAGACTTTGAACAAGTCAATATAACCATTTGGACTCGATTGAATTTGATCGGAAGTGTTGGTAACAAATCCAACGTTGCCCATAAATCCATTATCAATATTGTCTTTCTTCTATATTTTGCTTATTTCTTTCCATTATCATTTTCTTTAAGAGTTTCCTATTTAGAATCCTATCACGTATCAAGGTAGAGTACATACTGCTCCATAGGCTGCATGCTGCTGATTATGATCAGATGTGACAACCCATACTTTTGGACACCCATCCTGCCTTAAAGCGACCACCTTTCAAAGTCATGGACAACAAATCTATCAGTCCAGCCATAGAAAGATCAGCTAAATAAAACACATAAAGGTATGTGCATCAAGCAAACTAGTTAGAATAATTCAGTGTAAGGCTCAGTATTGCATCTAATGGTGGTGCAACAAATCACAGAAAACTGGAGAGAAAACTTTCAACTTAAACCATACCAAGTACAATTACCCTTCAACCACTCCTGGTCCAAACTCTAATGTCAGCAATAGACTAGGAAATTCTTGGGACATATAAAATGATTTCACGTGAATGTCATGCAATAATTTAGTTAACGAATAAGGAAGACATAATTTGTTGTAAATGAATTTACAGGATGAGCACAGATGTGAACCCATCTTGATCCAATAAATGCACAATCTATACAGTAAAATCTGCACTGTATTATCTGACATGGATAAAAAGGTAAGAACGGATGAACATCAACCCTTGTTAAATGAAAGCAATGATTCAAATTTTCAGTTTTAACTTCTAATGCAAATGGGCATTAATTTTGCAATTGTTCTAGCAGAAAAAAAACTACCATCCAAAAAGGCTATCAAGATAACATACTTCTAGTACTAAGTACATAAATCTTCTCTAGAATTGAGCTTCATCACATTCTCACCTCCTTCTCAATCCATGCATCAGCACATGTTTCACTTGAATATACTATATCAACACTGCAAAATGAAGAAATGAGTCATGGAACTCTACTACTAAACAGTCTAGTCTAGATTGCATTCAAGAGTTCAACAGGACAAGTAGATTGATCCAAGAACTAAGAAATTGAGAGGTAGATGTATAAGTAATCTGTCATTAGAAAACTGACCATAAGATGTTTGGTTTCTGCATCAGATATCAATGAACATGATAAATATGATAATGAAATCAGATTTCTTCTTTAGTCACCAGAACATCTCAAAAGTGGGAAAATATAGAGGCTGAAAATAAATACAACTAAAAAATCCTTGAAAGTATGCTCAATACTCATAATTCCATTCCATATAGCATTAGTATGCAACAGCACATTTACATATTACCTATTGAAAGGAGGACAAGAATCTGATTTCATGTGAAACTACAGTAATGACAGACGAGCAGAAAAATAATAGCAAATTCCAAGAGCCTGTCTGTAAGACAGAAAAATATCCACAGAAGGTAACTATGGGGTTGTTTTTCATTGTCTAATGTAATTACCCCTCAAAGTCTTCCTTGTGTGTAGCCATTCCAGACATCATAGCATCAAACACCACCACCACTTTCACCTCTGCAATATACTGAAATGAGATGGCAACATTCACCAATTGACAAGTTATTAGACATGAATAAAGTATATAAAGAGCAACTATTTTTGACAATATAGGATTTCTACCAGCTCATTTCAATGTGCGAGATGCTAATAATCTGATTAAAAACAGAAGAAAACTGCTACAGCTAGCAGAATCATATTACAATAGCTAGAAAAAAAGTCATCTAAAAGAAAAAAAGAATAGCAGAATCTGTATCAGATAAACTACTTCAGAAAATAAAAGTATCAGAAGGAATTCACTGCAAGGATAGTTATGAGCCTTTCAAGTGATTATTGAGATGCACATATAAAAAAAGCAGCCCAGTGCATATAGCATACCGCATTCATGCAGAATAGTGGAAGGGCCTCACACCAAGGAAGTAAGATGTAGGCAGCCTCCCTAATACAAGTATTAGTGGCTGATTCCACGGATCAAATCCATGACATATAAGTCACACGAAGACAACTTTATTCATTTGAGTCTAGAGCTAGACAAGACCACATGTGCTCTAACAAGCTTTAATGCAACATAGGAACAGGCTCATCGAAGGATAAAAAGACCCAAACCTCTTAGCAAACTGAATGATACAAGTTCATCAATGAGTTTTTGACGAGCAATGTCAAGGCTTCCATTCATAAAATGCTTCTTCAACTTTGGCCAATATCCACACACATTATATCCATCAACAAGCAAGACTGGAACAACAGTATCTAATACCTGATTTGTACTACAGAAATTTAAAAAAAACAAGCAGTTTGTCAATTCACCCACATGATGTTTACTAAACAAAAAAATCATTCTAGACAAGACCTGGAAAAATATTTACTAGTATAGTGCCAATGTAGGATCGCGGTAGATCTCTTCATCGTCAGGCAGTTCTTCCTTCTCCACCTTCTTCTTACGATAACTAGTAGCAGGCTTTGGAGTACTGGATTTTCTCTTTTGGAACTCCTAAAATAAATTTCCACCATATGAATTGCAGAAAATAATATACTAGATCTCGTAACAGGGTCCATTGATATTAATATAAGACTGACCTTCCATAATTTTAGGAACTGCAAATTCTGCTTCAATTTTGATGTAATCCTTGGAGGGGGCATATCAGTATCCTATTTGAAGTCGAATAAGTAAAGTTTATTAGATTTAAATTATTCAGCAGGACATTCAAATTACATGATTATCTTGTCAGTTCTAGGTGGAATTATCAAAACATTTCAACAAAGTAAGCAAATATAGTTTTAAAAAATAGGAAAGATTGGCATACTAAGACACATTTCCAGTCGATGGATTAATACATGGTTTGGTATCCCATGACATCCCAAAAACTGTTGTGTCCAATTTAAGAATTTCTCAGTTTTACTTTTGAATGATTCCCAAACAACTTTTTAGTTTGACTAGCTCCAGCCCTTAATGAAAATTACTCCTAAAATCAACTTCTAGCACTTGCATGTCTAGTGGCCATACAAATGATATATATCCAGTTGTGAGCAACGTAGAGATACAGCAGCAAAATTATTTCATTTAAAAACAATCGATAGGCAGAAGAGCATTTCCAATCACATCAAAGCAAATGGACTACCTATATGTCTGACAAAGCGAGCTAGTGTTTCTTCATAACTTCTATCCTTTCTGATAACTCGCCCTATGGATAACATAAAGATATGTGATTGCTAACAAGCAAACCAATTAGAGTAATTCATAAATCAAAATGTAATCTTTGTCTTTTGGTAGAAAAATGATGCCAACTTCTGTAAGGTTCTATCTCATGATATCATCAACAAAAAGTACTATTCCCTCTATTTCGTTTATGTGTGTTACTTCCATTTTTAGTTTGTTTATAAAAAGGTACACTTTTTATATTTAGTAACTCTTTAATTCAATATACTACATAGCATGCTTAAGACCCCAGGATTCAAAAGGCATACATTATACATGTCTTTAGTTTAAAGACCTCAATATTCAAAATTTTCTTATTTCCCATCAAACAAATACACATAAAATAACTGAGGAAGTGCTTATTTTCAAACTGCTGAATATCACAATGAACATTTAGGGTCCTTCTATAGTGAGAATGCTGGGCCATGATCAAAGCAAAACTATGTTTCATATCCTATTACTCATGTTTTATCTATTTTTCCTAGATAATTCTTAAGTCCAGTTATACAATCTTCCCTCTAGTTATCATTAATGTGTTTATTTACATCATACTGCAAGCAATCTTTTACATTCCTCAAAAAAAGGGAGAACTGACTGGACAACCCAAATCACTTGTAGAATTTATTTTCCTTTCCTTAATTGAATGAATACCAATTTTGGGGTGGAAGCGTAAAGAGAGAGTATTCAGAAAGAAGAGAGATGTAAGGATGAAGGTGTGTTTTATTTATGAGGAAAGCTCCTCTATTTATACACATAAATTACACCGTCATACTATTTACTTTACATAATTGGCCGACAAACTATTTACTTTACGACTTTTGTACATTTGCCTTTTTTCAGCCGACGCAAGACGACAAAAATAAAAAGACTCTTACTTTATATATATGGCTGATATTCAGCCAACAATAATAACTCTTTTTTTTTTAATTTTTTAAGTGAATATAATAGATTTCGGACACACTAAATCAGAAGGGCTTGGTCTAATTTCAAACTCGAACCCCTAGATTTTGAATTGGAAGAGAGTGATGACCATATTACATAATGAACATCCGTCAACTGATGATTTATCCTTTTCTACTCATTAAAGTATCAACATAAACAAAGAATTAGTACCTCAATCACAAATGTAAAATTAGTGTAGGATAAGGATATGATACCTTAGCAGAGGGTGTGTGGGAATTGTTGCTCTTCTTAGCAACAATTGTGGGTTTGACGTAGCTGTTACATGTAGCACAGCCAATGTATGTTAGTGCAAAGGCTGATAGTGTTTGTGAGAAAGATATACCTTTCATGGATGTAACACTACTTCATCATTCAGCATTTTCTTCAATATCCACCAAAATTTTCCAACTCTACACTCGGATGTTTGGAAATGGGAAAAGGATACAAGTGTATAATAGACCTGTGTATCCGATACCTTCAACCCCACACCTCTCCTTCAATTTAACGTACTTAACATCATTCCAGTCGTGGACTCAATATAGCCTATCGTTTCGTTTTCACAACCCAAATGGGTCCATATTTTCTATTACAAAAACCTCTTCAATGCTTACTCTTAGGGCTCGTTTGGTAAAAAAAAAAACACATGGTTTATTTCTATCAAATGTTTGGTTTATTATTTTCCATCTCTATAAAAATTTCTATTTAATTATACCCTTGAATTATTAGGTAATTGGGTCAAGCTAAATAATTGTCGGATAATATTATTTTTTGGGAAAAAGACCAAACATATCCCCGAACTATCATGGTACATTAATATCCTTCCTTATACTTTCGTGGTCGTATATATCCTTACCAACAATATTTCGGAACATATATAGCCTTAGGATAAATAGAGAGACATGTGTGATCTTAACGGTCCATACAAGTTCAATTTAATTCTTACCCATATATAAAAAACCAACCCATCTTTCACAATTTTGACCCATTCATAACCCAAATTGTAACCAAAAGCACCCAAAGTCAAAAGAGAAGTTACGGTAAGATAATCAAAACTCTCAAATTCCTCTTTTCTTAACTTCTACAACAAAAACTTATTTCAAACATTTAGATTTGAACAACAATTTCAAACAGAGAAGAATTTTTTTTTTCCAGAAATCCTTTTGGACAATTTTTTATTCTTCATCTTCTTCAACGAAAAACCTTTGTATAAATATTTCAATTTATTTGACTGAAATCACTCATAAAGATATTGATTTTGAATATATGAAATTGAAAAAAACATGATGAAACTCAAATTCCTTAATTCAATTTCACTTATAAAGCAATCATCAAGTCTTAATCTTCCACACTCAATCCATTATTCCACAACTTTTGATATTGTCCTAACTTTTATTGCATATCCAGTTTTTCATGCTTCTAGGAACACAGAACAAATATCATGATTGAATAGAAACTAGAGAATGAAGCAGCAAATGCTCACATCAAAGAAGAAGTGTAAAATCAAATGGTGTTTGCTCATCTTTTATACGCGGAGATCGAAGAAAAGAAATTAATTGTGAGAAAACTGACACGAGTGGATGTTTAGTTAGGTTAGATAGGGAAAGAAGAAGAGGGTTTTTAATCGGGTTATGGATGGGTTGAAATTATGAAAAATGGGTGGGTTCTTTTTTAATTGTGGGTAAAAATTAAATTAAATTTGGCTAGGCCTTTAAGATTATGACAAGTGTCTCTCCGTCAATCCTAAGAGTATATATGTTCTGAAATATTGACGTTATCACTCACAAAATGTAATTTTTTAATTTTAAAAAGATAAACCATCTACTTTTAAAATTTAAAAAAGGTCAACAGTAATAAAATTGAATAAATCATCTACATTTACGCATAAAAATTGCAAGTTGTAGTTTTATATATGTATGTATTAAATTCTTTAAAATACAAATAATTAGAAAATCAATTAAGATCATAAACGTCATATACTCACATTTCAAGTATTGGATTTATTTTGTACGAACAACTCTCTCTAAATAATTTGTAAGCTAATTTATTTAAATAAGTTTACTAGTACAAATATAAACCATAAAATCAAGAAAATAATCAAAATAATTAAAATAATTTGAGGGATATTTTTGTCTTTACATAGACTTATCCCATGATATTATATCCTATGTACTACCAATATCTCCAAATGGAAGGTATTAGTAATACATCCTATAATACCACGAAGGAGGTATACATAGGTCCAAATTCCTACCAAACGTAGTACTAAATAATACCTTGTCTAATACATGGATTATTTTTTCTAATGCAGCCTACAAAACGATCCCTTATTGCATTACATTAACTAGTGAATAGGGTTAATTACGTCTAGAGCTATTAATATAGGTGGATTCATTTCATTTGGATTAACTTATACGAGCTTTGAAATTTGACGGGTCAGATCGGGTTATACTTTTTTGTCCAGAAAAGGAAAAATTACATTGTTAAGCAAACTTATACTAATTAATTACTCATCATAGCTATAGTTTGTTATAATTACCACTTGCGACTAACATCAATTATGTGGGTTGACTTTGAGTTTGTATAATTAGCCACGTTTTTAGATGTATAATTTATCAGAATATATAAATACATATATAGAATATACAATTATCTAACTGATATACTTATACAATTCACCTCTCTCACTCGCCTCTCTCTTCCCTCTCCCAATCTCGCTCACCTCTTTCCTCTCTCTCCCAATATCGCTTTCCATATAGACAAGTGCATATGTGCAATATACAATTATCTTACCTATATACATATACAATTCACATCTCTCCCACTCTCCCGCTCGCCTCTCTCCTCTCTCTCACAATTTCACTCACCTGTCTCCTCCCTCTTGATACGCTCAAACTTACTTCTCAAATGAGAAGTAAAGCGGTCGCGTCAAGTAAATAATCCAACTAGAGAGGTTGGGATCGTTCCCACGAGGAAAATAGTCTAGACTTAACTTCAACTTGTTATTACTATTGTTCGGTTGATGACTTCCTTAGAAAGTAAAAGCATAAAAAGGGGGTTTGTATTTCCTAATGAGTAAAAATAACTAACGGACTTGAAAGAGACACTTAACAGCTTTTAATGTTGGGTTTTAATCAATTAATCAAAGTAACTAGGGTTTACGTGTTCCCCGCAGGTTCATAACTTGATAATTCTAACTATAACAATTCTTTCCTAGTATCTTGCATGCAAAGTGATAAGTTATGTATTTCTAAATCCTTGGTCCGGCATCTAGAAAATCTCACTCCGCACCTTGGTCCGGCTACGTGTGTTGCTTTCCTAACCCTTATCTTTACCTCATATTAAGCATCGTATTCGATATTTGACTAAGTTATTACCTCGTACCAATCAATACTAGCCTATTAGATAGTATACACTAAATCTATGTTAATACTTCGTTTCCTATTATCTACCACCTTGGTCTGGCAAGTAGCATTAAGGCGAGTTCTAACGTTGATCATCCGTTAAAAAGACTTCTAAGTGAAAGAATTATTAATACATGCAAGACACTATTCTAGAATTGTTCTTTTAGCTAGGGTTTATCTCATTATTTGCCTATGGTTCCCACAACCCTAGTTATGGAGTTTAGTTCCTCATAGCCATAAACACAATATTCAAATATATTAAATAAGAATTCATGTACTTACTTCAATGAGAAAGAGTAAAGTCCGAAAAATTGCTTGATTAATCACCAAAAATTACTTGTAAGAATCTCCAAAAAATCAAACACTAATAAACAAAGTCTAATAATATGATGTCTAATCTCCCAGAGTCTAACCTCAAAAACGAGGTTTTTCGAACTATTTATAAAAAAATAAAAACTTAATTAAAGAAGGATTCTAATTACTAGAAATCTGCCAAAATGCGGCTGGGTCGACGGACCACGCGACGGACCGTCGTGGTCATGACGGATCGTCGTGGACTCCGTCGTCCCATACTTGGTGCAATTTCTTCTGCTGCTTTCTTCATTCCCCTCGACGGCAAGTGTGACGGACCGTCATAGGCACAACGGTCCATCGAGGGTCTCGTTTCAAAATACTACAACTCTTGGAATCTGAGTACTGGGATCACTTCTCTGATCTTCACGACGAACCTGTAGGACGGACCGTCATAGCCATGACGGACCGTCACAAGCTTCGTAATCCCACACTTGGTCAGACTTCCCCATCTTCCTTCAGCAACTTCTCTACGCTGCCACCTACGGACCGTCAGAGGCACGGCGGACCGTCATAAGCTCCGTAGGTGGTCTCTTCTGCATTTTTTGCTCAAAATCTCCGCATTCATCTTTGGACAGATTCCTGCAAAACAAAGAGAAACTTATATCAAAATTAGCACAAAAAAGGCTTTCGGACACACTAAACTTAAGGAAAAAGTATTAATTATGCCGTGAAATCACGGTATATCAACACCCTCAACTTAAATTCGTTGTTTGTCCTCAAGCGACGCACTATGACTCACTACACAATCTTTGTACAATAGTATTCATGTTTTATCCTTTGCAATCATTTGGCTATCAATCCCGATTAATCTCATCAAATCAATGCATGCTATCACTATTAGGCTTGAATTTTGTGGGATTCGAACATGACACAGACTCACCATGCACTAACACCTATCCACTTCAATTTCTCACCGAGGTGCTAACAATTCCGGTATTGCAACTAGTGTCCTCACTTTAGAACAAAATCCTCATTTTTCATACAATGATTTCAGTTTGAGTATAAGGATTACATTTCAACACTCGCTCTCAGAACAAAGTCACACTCATTCATACCTATTGCCATAAGCTTGCCCTTATTTTCACTGCCTTAAGTTCGCTATACAACCCTTAGGATCGCGATAGGACTTTTTTAGCTTGTAACGTAGGCTCAGAGTCAGGTAGGGTATATTTAGGTATACTTTAGTGACTTTTTGCCCTCCTTGACATATCGGCTAAACCTTCCACTTTCTATCACTTTATCTCGCCCAGTTTCTCTTATTCTTTCACCTTGCTGTTTCCCTTCTTTCTTCATTTGTGTAAGTAACTCTTTTCTTTTCTTGTTTGTAATTCTTGAATATTTCTCTTTTTCTTTCCTTTTCTTTCAACGAGTTCTTGAGTCACTTTACTTTTGTTCTTTCTCTCTCTTTGTTCTTTCAACCCCACTTTCCAGAGCATTCCTCAAAACAGCCACCCTCAACTCATGGCTTTGCCATGAATCAAGGTACATAATACCCAAAGTCGGTTCAGGGCCATAACGAAGGTTGTTTATACAGTAGCCACCCTCAACTTATGCTTTTGGCATAAGCTGAGGTGCACATGTCCAAGGAGGGACCAGGGCCAACATATTGTTCCCAGAAAAGATCAGTTGGGGTGAAAAAGAAAGGTCTAATTTTAATCTCAAATTATTTGGATCAAAGAAGGATAACTTTCATTTGATTTCTTTTATTTAGGCTAGAAATGGGCCATATTGAATAAGGGCCTATGATCCTTTCCTAATTGTCTGTTAGAGCTTACTTTTAGCAAGACTAACCAGGCAAGTTCTAGCTCAGTACCAGTAGTGGACTATTCAACTTTCCTCACACTCACTTGACATCTCATCACTATACCAGATT